CCCACCACACACACACACACACACACACACACACACACACACACACGTTCGTTTTGAACGCACGAGGTTGGCTTTCCTGCCTGTGCCACAGGCAGTATGATTTGTGCAAGTGCTGCCCCCGTGCGGCGCACGGGACAATCTGCAGCCTGGGTTTCTGCGTTAGCAGCAATAGATCTCCTTTCGCACAGTGACACCGGGCCATGTCCTTGAGTCTCAGGCCGGTCCTTTGCAGATACAGCAGGTTGTTGGGATTATCCCTGGAGATGCTGAATCGGCCTTTAACAGCATTGGAGTAGTTTTAGTACTGCCATCCTTGCTAATTTCGGAGACCCTCTCCAGTCCCTTCCCAGGTATCTGACGGACCCACTCCATCCAGCAGTCGCTGAAGATGAACCCGGATGCTTTGCAGGAGAGGTGGAGAGAGTCTTCGGCCTTTTTCACATCCCTCTGGACTCCGCCTGCTGGATCTGTGACCGGGCACCTGGGAATAAAGTCACAGTTAGAAATCAGGTGGAGAGCAACACGCCTTCTGCCTCTGACATGCGTTCATAGGGTGAAAAATACCTTCCAAAGCCACTATAAGGAATGTGAAATGTTTGAATTTGGTCTGTCTGAGACATTTTAGAAGGGGCTTGGTTCTCAGAGTTTGGGTGTGTAGCATTTTCTGATGAGAAATCCCCAGATAGGGATTCCAAGCTGGGCCCCCTCAATTTGAGAGATTTAAGACCACTTAGAGAAATTGTGTCTAGCTTAACACGAGGAAAGAAACGAAGAAGAAAACATTTTATTTGAAATTCTTGAACTGGAACGTTTCTGGGGTTACAAAGGCAGTTTGGTATCCAGGTTCCCCTTGAGAGTGATCGGGATTTGTGCACTCAACCTGTGTTAGTGCCTTTGAAAAATCTCCCTGTGCTTCTCTATAGCCGAGATACCTGGTGAGCCACATTTCTGTCTAATTCTAACCCCGTGAACAGCTTGTGAAGTTACCTTGACATTCTATGTACCGAAGCTTGGTGGAGATGTTCTTTTTATTAGCTAAAGTTGTCGCTAGAAATGGAAGGTGAAACTGCCTCTGTTCTTAAAGTGTAGGAGGAGCTGAACATCAGAGCAGACCCACATCCCATCAACTTGTTCATCTCTAGGCGTCTGCATGGGATGAGAAGTTCCTCTGGAATATGAACTCTGCTTTGTGTTTGGAGGTGACGGTGTAACTGAGACAGCCGAGTGCC